GCTTAATCCAAACAGCGTGATCCTCTACAACTGCTGACATTATCAAATGAACAAAAGAGAGCTGATGAAAGATGATAGGAGACAGATCGAAGGAGTGAGAAGGTGGGTGAGAATGTCGGAAAGTAGATGTTTGTGTCGATTTTCCTGAAGAAAATGAAGGCGTTCAGGACTGTGAGGCTTACAGCCAAATCAATGTTCTCAGCAGCTGGCACTTAAGAAGTGGCCATTAAAGTAAAAAAGTTTAGAAAGTAGAACTGGAATTAGGGCCAAATAGGTGGAGGAGAGGAGCGCTGGCTTCCATTCGAATCAAAAACAAGAATAGTCGACTGGTCCTCTCAGGATTCCTGTACAAAGTCATTGTGATACCCATGACATTTTCATCATTTCCATATGCATCATAGTTTGCACCTCAGAAAAGCTCAGGTCACTATCTCTCCTGGTCTCATTTAGTTTTGTTACTGAGTGTTAATGTTACTGCCTTTTCCCTGGAGAGTTGTACAGTAAAACAGACGGATGTTGCTGTGTCACATCTACATCTGGGTTACCACAGCCTCATTCTCATACCAGCGTCTCTCATTTAGTCTGTTGTCAGTTCCCATTCCAGCGTCTGTCCCTTCAACTGGCCTAATGATCTGTGTAATACACTGGGAGCTGCACAACATTTCAGCGTGTTGTGCTGTCGATGTGTGTGTGTGGGGCGGGGGGGGGGGGAAAAATGAGACAACAGGATGAGAATCGAGACAGCCTAAGCTTGGTCAGTTTGTGATAGCGTGTGAGGACAGTTGGCATCTCCCATGTTCAACTGCAGCCTCTCTCTCATTCCCCATTCCGTTGTGTTCTCTGCCGCAGCCTTTTCTCATTACTGTTGTCTTTTCGACTCTGACGCTGCTATCACTGAACCCCCCTCCCGTCCCCCCCCATCCCCCCCGCTGCCTCTGTTCTCTCAATGAGACTTAAAAGTTAGCACTGCCTAACCCACTTAACCGCAAGGTCAGTACAATTTAAACTTTTGCAAGTCTTGAGTCGGTGCAAAAGTGTGATTGGACCTGACAGCCACAAAATGTAAGTCTGATAAGAGTCTGATTACAGGCTGTATTGCCTGGATGCAGCACAGTCAAGACAATGTCTACTCCGGAGGTGAGGACAAGGCCTGATTTTTAAAGTAGAGATCTTCATAGGAAAACTTTAGAACATTAGACCGATCACAGGAACTAGTACTATTGTAGGGAATCTTACCAACGCTTTAATGGACTCAAGGGACTGGGAACTAAATCAATTAGACAGCACTTTTTTTGTTTGTTTCATTAAGAATAAGTAATGATAGTTGTGACTTGATGTAGGTGATGGTGGTGGAGAGATCAAAGCTTAATCAAAGCAAGATGAATGAAGAAAAAAAAAAG